GACTGGGAGGGACTGAACCCCTTCAACCCCGTCTGGGACGAGGGGCCCCTCGTCCTGCCCGAGGCACTGGGGGAACTGGGACAGACTGGGAGGGACTGGGAGAGGATTGGGAGAGACTGGGGGCACTAGGATAGGACTGGAATGGACTGGGACTGACTGGGGGCACTGGGATGGACTGGGACTGACTGGGGGCACTGGGATGGACTGGGACCAACTGGGGGCACTGGGATGGGACTGGGAGGGACTGAAGTGGTGTGTAACTGGTGTCACTGGTGCAGGTGGTGCTCCCCGCTCTGGGGCTGTTATGGGGGGTCCTGGGTGTGTTACTGGTCCCTTACTGGTGTGTAACTGGTGTTACTGGTGCAGGTGGTGCTCCCCGCTCTGGGGGTGTTATGGGGGGGTCCCGGGTGTGTTACTGGTGTGTTACTGGTGTGTAACTGGTGTTACTGGTGCAGGTGGTGCTCCCAGCTCTGGGGGTGTTATGGGGGGGTGTTACTGGTCCCTTACTGGTGTGTAACTGGTGTTACTGGTGCAGGTGGTGCTCCCTGCTCTGAGGGTGTTATGGGGGTGTGTTAGTGGTCTCTTACTGGTGTAACTGGTGTTACTGGTGCAGGTGGTGCTCCCCGCTCTGGGGGTATTATGGGGGGGTGTTACTGGTCCCTTACTGGTCCCTTACTGGTGTTACTGGTGCAGGTGGTGCTCCCCGCTCTGAGGGTGTTATGGGGGTGTGTTAGTGGTCTCTTACTGGTGTAACTGGTGTTACTGGTGCAGGTGGTGCTCCCTGCTCTGGGGGTGTTATGGGGGGGTGCTGCGTGTGTCTCTGGTGTGTTACTGGTGTGTAACTGGTGTTACTGGTGCAGGTGGTGCTCCCAGCTCTGGCCTCCCTGCGCGTGGCCGCCTACGAGGAGGGGGGGCGGCTGCTGGGGCAGCGGGTGCTGCCCGTGGCCTCCCTGCGCTCGGGTGAGGGGGGGCTGGGGGTCCTGGGGGGCTTTTGGGGGGCCCTGGGGGTCCTTGGGGGTCTTTTGGGGGGGTCCTGGAGGATCCTGGGTGGTCCTGGGGGGTCTTTTGGGGGGGTCCTGGGGCAGCGGGTGCTCCCTGCGCTCGGGTGAGGGGGGTCTGAGGGGGTCTTTTGGGGGCTCTGAGGGGTTTTTGGGGGGTCCTGGGCGGTCCTTGGGGTCTTTTGAGGGGGTCCTGGGGGGTCCCTGAAGGGTCTGATGGGGTCCTGAGGGTCTTTTGGGGGGTCCTGGGGGTCTTTTGGGGGTTCTGGGGGTCCCTGAGGGGTCCTGGGGGGTCCTTGGGGTGGTTCTTGGGGCAGAGGGAGAGATCCTGGGGGGGTCCCAGAGGTCCTTGGGGACCCCCTGAGGTGTTCCCCCAATCCCGAGGGGGGTCCCCCATTCCGAGAGGATTCCCCCAGTCCTGGGGGGTGGTCCCCAATTTTTGGGGTGCCCCCCCCCGGGTACCACAACATCCCTCCCCATCTTCCCCCTCCCCATCCCGGGGGTCTCTTTGGGGGGGTTCCCCAATCCCAGGGGGGGTTCCCCTGTTCCAGGGGGGTTCCCCCATTCCAGGGGGGGTCCCCAATTTTTGGGGTGCCCCCCCCAGGGTACCACTACGTGCCCCTGAGGAACGAGAGCAACCAACCCCTGCTGCTGCCGGCGCTGCTGCTGCTCACCCAGGCCAGCGACCACGTCCCCCACGACCACCAGGGTACGGGGGCTCCCCAAAACCCCCCTGGCACCCCAAAACCACCCCGGAAACTGGGGACACCCCAAAAACCTGGAGGAACCCCAAAAACCTGAAGGGTCCCAAAAACCCAGTGGGAGAAGGATGAAAACCCACTGAGGGGGCTCCAAAATCAGGCAGGGACCCCCAGAATTTGTGGGGAGTGTGAAGAGCTTGGGGGGGACCCCAAAACCCCCCCGGATCTCCAAAACATTCCCGGAACCCAGGGGCACGCCAAAAACCCAGAGGGACCCCAAAAACCCAGGGGAAGGAGGATGAAAACCCATTAAAGGGGCTCCAAAACCAGGGAGGGACCCCCGGAATTTGGGGGATGTCAAAAGTCGGGAGGAACCCCAAAACCCCCCTGGAACCCGGGGGCACCCCGAAAACCTGGAGGGACCCCAAAAACCCAGAGGGAGTGGGATGAAAACCAATTAAAAGGACTCCAAAACCGGGGGGGACCCCCAGAATTTGGAGGGGGATGTGAAGAGCTTGGGGGGGATCCCAAAATCGGGGGGGTTACCCCGGAATTCAGGTGGGAGCCCAGAACAGGTGGGGGACCCCAAAAACCCAGAGGGACCCCAAAAACCTAGGGGGAGGGGGATGAAAATCCACTGGGGGGGATCCAAAACCAGGGAGGGACCCCCGGAGTTTGGGGGGGGATGTGAAGATCTTGGGGGGACCCCAAAACATGGGGAGAGCCCCAAAACCCTCCCAGCACCCCAAAACTGCCCCGGAACCCAGAGGCACCCCAAAAACCTGGAGAGACCCCAAAATTTTGGGGGGGTCCCACCCTGTCTCTCGTCCCTCCTCTCTCTCCTATTTTAGTGTGTGTGGGGGTCTCTCCTTTTTGGGGGGTTTCTCCCCGTTTTTGGGGGAACTCTCTGTTGTATTTGGGGGTCCCCCTTCTCCCCATAAGCCCCCAAAATTTCGGGGACCCCCCCCCCAGATTACGCCGAGGCCCTGAGCAACCCCATCCGCCACGTCAGCCTCATGGACCAGCGAGCCCGGCGCCTGGCGGCCCTGCTGGGGGACCCCGAGGTGGGTTTGGGGGGGGGTCCCCAAAATTTGGGGGGGTCCTCAGGATGTGGGGGGGCCCTGGGGAGGGGTTTGGGGGGAGTCCTGGAGGGTCCTGGGTGGTCCTGAAGGGTTTGGGACTGTTTGGGAGGGTCTCAGGTGGATTTTGGGGGGTCCCAGGGGGGTTTTGAGGGGTCTCAGGTGGGTTTTGGGAGTTCTCAGGAGGGTTTTGGGGTTCCCAGGTGGGTTTTGGGATTCCTGGGTGGGTTTGGGGGTTCTCAGGTGGGTTTTGAGGGTTTTTTGATGGGTTTTGGGTTCTCAGGTGGGTTTTGGGGTTCCCGGGTGGGTTTTGGGGGTTCTCAGGAGGGTTTTGGGGTTCCCAGGTGAGTTTTGGGGGGTCCCAGGTGGGTTTTGGGATTCCCAGGTGGGTTTTGGGGGTTCTCAGGTGGGTTTGGGGGTTCTCAGGTGGGTTTGGGG